TTCTCGCGCTAACTTACAGACAAAATGTAACTTACCCGTCACCTCGATGAATTTGTCGACCAGTTCGCGATCCATCGTGGCTACCTCGAGTTCAGAAGGATTTTTCTCACCCAACTCGAAAACCGATCGCAAAATACCTCCAAATCGTTCGTCCCTCTTTCTCTCCCTCTCTGACTCTCACTTTCTTGCCCACTCACTACTGCTCACTACTCACTACACCACACTCTGTCCTGCTCCGTCCACACACCAAATGACATTTCGAGCATTACGATACGCTGCATCACTTCGTAGGGCTGGTAAAAACATGTTTTGAACAGTTTAATATATATTTCTAATCAATGTTCTTAACATGTTTTTTTATAATACTATTTAAAACATTTGTAGCATTTAAAAGGAACATAGTGTTTTATTCTTCAAAAAAAAAGGAACATTAGTCTTTGCCGCAATTAACCCTGTTCTGTTGTAATTGCTGTGTGCTTTCGCGCCATCTGATACATGGAATGGCATAATTTTCTCTATTGCCGTTAGTATTAAATTATAATTCAATATTGTATTTTTATAATGGACTTGACATAACTGTTGTGCCTTCGCTATAATTACTTTCGTGATATGGAAAAAAATCATTTTTAGAATTTTCGTGTAATAACAATCCTAATTGCATTTTTTACACAATGTTATATATTTATAATAAAAAACTTAGGATATAATAAATTCTCATCTATATTGACATATAATTCTAAACGATTGAATTATATTATTAAATATATATTAGTAATTATATTTGATTACTCAAATATTTGCAAAGAGATTTAATTAAAAAATAATTAATATTTCTCATCACGTACAGGAATAAATTATTCTGATGTTATTTTAAAATTTCAGACATATTTATATTCTGATTTGACATCTAAAGTATTTGAGATATTTGTAATTCTTCTTATTTGATTATATGTTTTGATATTTTATTAATGTTAATTTATTTTAATAAATTTTTTTAATGTCAAATTTCTACAATGGTCGCGTTCAGCAGACTCAACTGTTGTGGAGTAGATCCGTAAGCATTCGCTGTTATTGGTGTATTCTTCTAGATCATCCAATAGCAGCAAGCGCTCACGGATCCACTCCACAACAGTTGAGTCTGTTGAACGCGACCAATAATATAAGAGCGATAAAGTTACTCATGATTTTATCGATGGTCGATATATTAGCGGGTGATTTTATTGATCTTTAATATTTATAAACGTTAATTATAAAAAATTTAAAAAGATGGCGCAAATTATGTTTAACAGCTTCATTTTATCAAATGCTGCTACCGGCCACATCTCTGATACAAAATTCAAACGGACGTCAAATTGTATCAAATCAAGGACAGTATTGTTGAAAGTTGAAATAGCGTGTTATGCGATGAACTGTTTTATCACTGTGTGATGTGAGATATGACTGGAAATTTTTGTGGAAACTGAAACGGCGTATTGAGAGAAGAGAAAGCGCGATATAAAGGAAGATGAGAGTCACCAGTTTATTACTCTACGACAAGCTTCGCGGATTACGTTCAGATCTATCATCGGGAATCACACCTGAGATTTTGAGCAAAATATGCGACGATCCGAGCTCGCAGCCTTTTCTGGAGTGGTTCTGCAAGAACGTGAGCAGTGCCAATATTCTCTCCAATGAGGAGATAAAATTGTATGACACCTCTTTTACAAACCACAGTTAACTGGGACTAAATTTTTAACAATTTTTTTCTTTTTTTACAGAAAAAATGCACTGGAAGATGCTGGCGAAATATTGGAGGGTGAAGCATTGGACGCTGCATTGGAGGAAGCCACTAAAGATTGCCCAAACTTGTTAAAACTTGTCGACACAGATGATACATGTCGAGAGGATCTATTTGTGGAATACGAAGCGTTGAAGGAAAGTTGCAGTGAAGATGAAAAGTATCTTCAGTCATTAAGACATAGTATAAAAACTCTAAAGTAAGAACTTTTATAAAGTTATGTTTCCTCTCCTTTGAAGTACTTATGTAATAGTGATAATAATTTAGAGAAATGACTGTTGTAGAGAAGTCCAGAATAAACTAGATGATGACATTGAAGAAGCAGAAACTATGCTCAATAAAGAGCAGATTGAAACAGAAAAAGCATATGACGATTGCAGTGTCATTTTGAAGAAATTTGATAAAGAAACTTGTCAGTTTTCAAAAGATATCGAGAATCTTTTAAATGTGTATGCCAATGCTGCTAAGAATGTAAGTATCTTAAACTTTGTATAATTAATTTTACGAGTTATATGATTTATTTATTATTTTCTTTTTCAGCAAGGTAGCGCGGTGTTATGGTCACAAATGCCCATCCACTTGTTTAGTAAACAAATAGAACTCTACAATCATTATCTGGGTATTCATATAAAGAAGCAATTTGGAGCTAGTGCTAACAAAGAAGAACAAGAAGAGGATTCAGATTACGGATCTCTAATAAATGATAGTAGGGACAAACAGATGGATGAAAGGATGCTCGAGTTACATATGTGTAAAAAAAAGTGAGTAAAGTAGGCAATTATCTTTTTGAAAAATGTATTAAGTAATATAATCGTATTTTTTCTTATTTCTTGTATAGCTTAACCCATGCTAAATTAGAAGAGATTAATGCTAGTGTTCAAGAGGATTATTACATGGCAATATTACAATGTGTACAGGATATCTACAATGGTGGAATTTTAAAAGTGCCTGACGATAGTAAATTATGGTGATAATATAGAACAAAGTAAACAATGTTTTATGTATTAAATCATAACATTTTGTTTATAAACAGCGACAAAATGCAAACGTTAACCTTAAAGAGAGACATCTTGGAACAGAATATTGAGCTTTTGCGAGATCAGCAGTTACCAGAAGTAGTAGTGCAATATGCCGAAATGGAGACTATAAAGATCTTGAAGAACGATGCACTTGCCCGTGTCGAACGGAGGAAAGCCCGTCTCGAGAAGCTCAAGAATTTACATTCTCTCGCAGGAAAGCACGGACATGTTCACGTGGATCTGCTGTATTTATTAATGGAAATGCAATTTCGCCGCTTGCACGAAGTTGCCGAATTCATCGCTGACGCTCGTCATTATATTATTACGGAATATAAGCTTTCTTCTGCAAGATGTGTTGGTATCAATGCATTTCTCTCTCAATTCGGTATTATTTTAATAAAAATAATAATTTATACTCATAGAAACATAATAAAATGTGTAGGAGGTCATGCAACAAGAACAGGACGAATATGCGGCACTTGTAACGCAATCTCCGGAAACGTATAATGCGTTTAATCAAATATTTATGTCTATGATGCTTGGTGACGATACATCGAATGAGTCGTTTTCTACTGCGTTGAAAAGATACGATGACTTAATAGCTGACAACGCGAAGAAGAAGAAATTAATGATGGAAACATATCCAAATGATAAAATCAACAAATTACAAAAATTGTAAGTACTATTAATAATTTTATGTATCAATGATACGTTATTTTTCTATGAGTATGTTTAATGTATATTTCTATGGGTTTAGAGAGAATGAAATTAACAAGGATTACATAGCTGAGACGCAAAATGGACCGACAATTAGCTTCAGGCCAACTTTGTATGAAATAAGCTCCAAGTGCGAGGAAATGTCCACAATCGTTCAACAGGTGCAAGGAGATATAACAAAGATCAGGAATCAGTTCAAAGAACGAATGGTATAGCGCTACAAATATATCAATAGTACATGAAAACATGACATTTGCTAATAATTCCTGTATTGCAGAGGATGGACGCCAATCTAGAACGCGAGAAGGACATTTTATGGCAAAGATTTTTGGCAGAACCCGATACATTAAGATTGAGATATGAGGAAGCAAAACAAAAAGTGAATGAGTTTCACTTTAGAGATACCATAGAAAGTAAACTGAATCAGTAAATTAACAATTTACAAACCAATTGTATAGGGAGACAGGAAAAGAGGTATTCAGTATTTCGAGTTTATTTTTGTACTTTTTAAAAATCAAAATAATTAAAACACAGTACATGGTAAATATACTCGGTAAAATACCAAGTTACTCATTCTCTCCATTCCCCCCTTCCCCCCTCCATCAAATATTGACAAAAACAAACCATAAATTTACTATAAAAAATTGAACACTCATTTTCCAATTCGTGGCTTGTACATTATTCATAATAAAGTTCGCTGAAGAGCCTTGAAAGTTGATTTAATATAAATATCGTAATCAATTTTTTGTGTGAACATAATTTTTGCCCCCCTCCCTTCCTGTCAAATCTTGGATACGCTCATGACCTTTTTAATTCTTTTAAGTTATTAGAGGAAACCCGATCGCTGAGTTTTCGTGGACATAATCCGCGCGGAGCATTACGTGACGCGATAATGAATGATTCGTCCCAAGGACGAGCGTGTGTGTGCGTGCGCGCTGAGCGCACGCGCGTATAAACACGATGAGGGATGACGTAGAGGAGGTGCCCGAGTGTAACCTTGATCCGCGCGCATCGATGTCCCCCCTCCCTCCCGCCCTTCTCCCTTCCTCTCCCGTTTCCTCATCGACGTGTTGCCCTTTCGTCCTTCTCTTCGCTCCCCACCCCCCTCTTTGTCTCAAATTTCGTTAAAAATCGCCACGCTTCCGAAAGAGGTCCGAATATACAAATGCAAAAGGTTTATAAGCAAACGCCACGGTTATGAATTATGAAACGCCCGTTTCGAAGGTGCCTTATCGTCGCATTCCTCGAGTATGTGACAAAGGCGTTTTTACGATCGGCAGCGATCCGTGCTTGCTTTCTTAGCGAGCGGCGGGAGGGAGGGAAGCGTGAGAGAGAGAATACGGAACGGGGAAGTGGCGAGGCGAGGAGTATTATCGATTCGCCGGGCACCCGTGAGTTAACGGTTTGTTTACACGAGCCGGCGAGCGCTCGCATGCGCCGCCCGACCAAAACAATAATAACAGAGTAGAAGGTTCATGGTTGGCGGACGTACGGGCGGCCGCTCGCTCTTCGCTCTCCGTGCTCGCTTGGTGCTCGCTGGCGCTGCTCCGCTCCGCGCGCCAAGTGATCGGGGATCCCCGTCGACCCGTCGACGTTGTCGCGCGGTGAAGTCACGCCAGGTAAACAAAGGAGCAGACGCACTGGACGTTTTCTAACGCGTCGCGCGTCGTAAAGTGATCGCCGACAATTCGGCGATTCTCGCGGAGAGCGAGTTGTACGTGTGGGAGGCCCTTGAGGACTGGAGATAGCAAAGTATATACCGAGACTACCTCGAAATCGGAACGGTGAAAATAAATTCCGACTGACGTCTGAATTGACATTTAAAACGAGACTGTATTTTAAAAAAATCCGCGAGAGTCGCGTCATTGAGTAACAAGTGGATCGCAAGTGGAATAACGAGCCGTGGAATTGAGACTACCTCAGATTAAAAAAAAAAAAAGTAGGAGACTATAAATAGAAGAGAATCACGAGAGAGATAGAAGAAAAGGAATCGTCCGTCTGGTATATCCGATTCGAAAGCGGGATCGCCGCGCGAGATTACCATCTTCCCGTCGGGCCAAAATAATCACTCGCTCTCACCGTGTTCCGTTCCTCCTCTTTCTCTCCCACCCGCTCAGTGCGTTACCTCATCGGAGCCGAGTAGGTGCGTGTAACGAGCGTATGCGCGCGTTGTGCAACCCGCCGCACTGATCCTCGGAGAGCGAGCGAGCGAGCGTAAGAAAGAGAAAGAGACAGAGTCGAGTGCAGACACTGTGTACGTTCGATCGGCCTGGAAGCAAAACAATGTGCGGCTGGTGTAGCGCTGTGTAGCGCGTAGTGGAGAGGAGAGCTCTGTGCGTGTGTACGTGCAGCTGCTGCTGCGCGGTGCGCTGGTGTGCGTTTGTTTATGCGCGTAGATTAGCCGCACGCTCGTACTCGCGCGCGGGGCAGTTCATTCAACAGCCAGCCGCGCTTCGACGCGCGCGACTCCTCGTCGTGCCGCGTTCCGCCGACGACGTTTCGAGAAAGCGAGCGAGGAGAGGATATATCGCGCCGCCCCGCGTATTTGCCCAGTGAATCATACCCGTCCGATTACGCACGGACGCGCCTGTACGCGGATACTCCGTCGTGCTTTGTATATATACACACACATATCGCCACTGTGTGTTATTGTTGACGTGTCTCGGCGACAACTGCGATTCAGACGAGAGCGAGTCGCTAATCGGAAGACAGCCCGTATTTCTTCGTGGAAAGAGGAATTCTCAAGTCCCCGCTGAGAGTATTGTGGTACGAGAAAAGGAAGTTTGGTCTTTCTGAAAGAATAGTGCAGCGTTCTCTCTCTTCTCTCCCTACCTCGGGCTGTTTATTGTTGTGTGGGACCCCGTCGACCCAGGTAAACACCGAAAGAAGGAAAGAGAGGGAAAACTATTGTCGGCACGAAGAGAGATAGTAATCTCGGGCATTAGAAGGAGAGAGGACAAAAACATAGAGCTTCGAGAGAAATCGTCGGATCCCCGTTGCACAGTCTGTTTATTTACTACACGTCGCAGTTGGTGTTGCGTGTTTCGCGCGTCAACATCGAGAGCGTGAGGCGGATAGCTCGAGGATGCCGAGTGCCGAGGAGACGACGTATCTGATCGGCGTGATGCCGGACGGCGCGGCGCAGGCGGACGCGTTTCTGACGCGCGACGTCGACCTGCTGGTGTCGCAGATCAAGGAGAACCTACGGCTGTCCAGTTTGAAGGCCAAGTCCAGCATCAGCTGCAAGAACAATCGACCGTCGCCGTACCGGGTGCCGGCGCGTTCCTGGGCGGATCCGGCCGCCGGCTGCGAGGTCTGCGGTCTGCGGTCCAACGGCCAGCAACAACAACAACAACAGTCGCAGCAACAGCATCACGTGACTGCTGCTCATCATCATCATCATCACCATCACCACCATTATCACAATCATCTGAAGAGGAGCGAGAGGAGGGTGGACGATGATCCGTACGAGGTACTTCAGGAACTGCTGCGCGAAGGCGGCCTCATCAAGGAGGCAGTCAAGAGGCTGCAGAACCTCGACGAACTTTCGAGCTCGGAAGTGGACGAGGACGACGACGTGCGACGATCCGGTGGCGGATACCGCAGGAAACCGTACTTCTACGATTCCGAGGACGAGCCGTTACCGCCGATGTACGACCCTCTGGAACTGTGAGTCGTCCGACGGCGACATTTGGGGAAAATTTTTACGGACGTTCCTACGTTCTCGTCGTGAACAATGCCGCTTTATCCCGCGGTCTTTTTCGACCCGGTCCTTTCCTTTATCTTCTTTTGGTGTAAGGAACGAGGTTCTAGGTAGGGTCGTTTCTTTTGTGATTCGGGAACGGAAAGTGTCTCGAAAGTGGATAAGAATTCACGTTGAAGAAGGAAGATAATAAAAAGGGGTATCCCCGAAAAGAAAATGCGTTTCCTTCGCTCGACCGCGTGGGAGTCCCAGTTTGTTTGTCCCAGGACGACGGCGACGGGAAAGTGTGCGTGCACGTACGTGCGTGCGTGTGTGTAAACACAATTAGGCTGGAACTCGCCTTACATGGCCGTGTTTGTAAATACGCTGCGTTGTCGGCGCTGCGCGATAGCTTCGCCTCGCCTCTCCGCTGTATCGACGCTCGCGGACGGACCTACGTGGAAGACTTACTTATGGCCGCCAACTTATGGCGGCCCGCGCCCCGCTCGACTCGCTTCACCACCGTTTCGAAACGCGCACGCGAGATGTTCCTTTCCCGTACTGTTCTACATCGCGTCGGCGTCGGGGTATCTCGAGATCATTTATTAAATATCGCTGGCGAACTCAACGTCGTCTCGACGTCACTAATGTCTGTTTCTGTCAATGTAGATTAACTATAATCTCGGTTCTACTTTTCACCTTTCTTTTTTTCCGATGCCCGTTTCTGCTGATGTAGTTTAATGTTAATCTCGGTTCAACTAACTTTTTCTAGTTCTAGGAATTGGAAAAGGATGAAGAAGTAAGTTGAATTGAAGTTGAAGTTAATCTACATTGTGGTAGAAACGGGCATAATTTGTAGAAACTAGAAGCAGATAAAAAGTAAGTCAAACTGAGATTAAAGTTAATCTACGTTGAAATCTACTGGAAATAGCCATTAATGTGCGTCATACGCGCGTTCAGAAGCCATACGCAATGTTCCTTTTCTGTAGTGGAGCTCTGTATTGTGTTAACGATGGTTATCGGTATTCCGAACTGTTGAAAAATATCATTGGCGATGGCGATAATCGTAGTGCAAGGCCGATACGATTCTTTGTATATATTTTCAAGTATTGGACAACAAATATACATATAAATTATGTATTTATTGTATAAACATATATATACATATATATATATATTGAAAAAATTTACTAAATTTAATAAATATTTATTTAAATAGTACTAACTAAACTTTAGAGTAAATAATTTACTCAATAAAAAATACTACTTAACGTTCTTGTATCAAATGGATATATATATACGTATATGTTTACACTCAATAAATATTTAGTACTATTCAAATATTTATTAAAATATAATACATTTTTTTTCAATATATATATGCGTATGTGTATTCGTGTGATAGTTTGTAGTTTTTAAAATATCGACAGATATCGTTATCACAATGTGGAGTATCTATATCATACAGTTGATTCGTCGTGAAACTTGATTAACGCTTCAAATACTAAGCGAATAGTAAAGATTAAAAATGCATAACATATTTATATATTTTTTATTTGACAAAGCTCTGCTGGTTAGAGATTTATTATTTCTTCGACGTTTGATGAAAAGACATCTGAGACTATTTTTTTTAATGTCCTCGTTGTTTTGAAAAAAACTATATAAATACTAATTATACGTTCGTACGGTATTTGAAGAGTTAATTTAGCAAATCATCATTCGTCATTTCGCGCGGACTATCTTGGTCGAATTACATAAGAAGTCTGTGTTAATTAATTCCGAGTAAGCGAGTCGCTTGTCGTTGACTCGATTGTAGCGTTAAATGAGAAAGAAAGATCTAATAAAGTTTTAGTACAATTGTTTAATAGTGCAATTATTTGTTTTATGTAATTAGAGTTTGTTTGCGAGTGGCACCGGAGAATTTACAGTTTAATATCCCTATAGAGATAACGACTGTGTAGCTTGGCATAATAAAGAGGGTCTTTGCAACGTGCCTGGGATACCGTAAACACACAAGTACTACAAAACAATAGTTAATTAGTTTGTAATTATTGTATATAATGTACAGTCTCTTGCTCTCGAGTCTGCATTATTAAACATGAGTTTGCCGTTCGAATTCGAAGAACGGTATCGCGGAAACTTTTTAATCCTCAAAGCTGGGAACGTAATGTCTGTCTTCAAGATTCTACCGCTGGTTACTTGCGAGTTAAACGGCGAGTCTTGCGAGTCCTGCTCGTCTATCGATTTACAACGTTGAATCGTTATCTCACGCGACGCACGAGAACCTCCCGTCGACGTTCTATAAATGGAAACTTTCCGTTAGAGAATCAGAATGCCACCCGCAAAGAAACCCGGAGTCACCGAGCGCGACGAAGGCGGGTCGTTGCTGTCGTAACTTTCCAAACAAAAATAAAGTCTGAGAGTCAAACGGGGGAAGATCTCCGCGTTGTCAAGAATTAATTTACAGGGTTTACAAATTTTTTAGATTCGGCACGTTTTTTTTTTTTTAGCTCAGCACAGACTTCGCATGAGGATACAAAAACCGAACATGTGCGAAAGTAGAGAGAAAGAGTACGTGAGCATCAACGAAGATACTTTTCGAGTTGTTAGACATGGACAATCAAGTCCTGCTCCAGGATTACACAGTCAAGGTTGTCACAAAATTGAAAATCAGGAAAATGTCAGGGAAATTGAAAACGATTAGAAAAATCAGTCTGGGAATTTGCAGATTTTTCTGGAGATGGAGGATGAGAAATTTGTGACAACCCTGACAGTTCACTTTGAGCAAGCAATGCCCGTTTCCATCAATGTAGATTAATTTTAATCTCGGTCTTCAACCTACTCTTCATCCTTTTCTAATTCTAGGAACTAGAAAGAGATGATGAGTAAATCGAGATTAAATCGAGATTAATTTACATTGATGGAAACGGATATAAACCGCGTATTCGCGGTCGATCAACGATTATCGATGCCTTTGCGTGGCGGAAGTATTAGGGGAACAATCGTCACGAGAGGAGGAGAGAGACACAATGATCTCATTTATTTTTTCATAAAGAGCGCAACGAGCGGACCAGTCGATCGATGCGAGGCGAGATCATTGATAGCTTAGCTTAAGCTCGGTTTAGTTCCCAACAGCTGCGTCCTTAATCCTAAAGTTACTGTCGTCCGTTCGATTCGATGAAAAACGGGAATAAGCAAGAATGGCCGAAGCTTTACATAAAGACGTTTACGTTGACGAAGCTGTAACGTCAGAATTGGACTGATATATTCATTGTGTAAATTCCGTAGCTGGTGGAACTGTGTCTATTTATGAAATTGTATGTCAAGGATAGGTCGATTTTGAAATTCATTAGCGGAATTAAAAAACTTACAAGGTAAAGAGACATCTCTACGGGATTCCGATCGTTGTATCGTTTAGGATAAACGCACTGGAGTATTAACGAAGAGACGCGAGAATGTCAAAGATTTAGGTGATATCCACGTTGCAAGGAATCCCCGGGAGAAAAAGGAAAAAAAAAAGGAAAAAAACGGACGAGGGAGGAGGAAACAAGGACCGCGCGTTAACGTGGATCTGTATAATAGTAGATAACGTTTAGCTTTATATCCCTTTCTCTGTGCATGTTTTAGTGCATAGCTACTTATCGCTATCGATCGCTAGTGGAGAGACACGCTGTTGATGTTACATACATTGTATTCGCACGTACAAGCTCGCCTGTACGCGTGCGTTGCACGAGATGATGCTGCATTGTCGCGTGATTCATTTCGCGAGGGTGGAGACATGAGAGACAGAAATCCATCCGTATATCGAGAGGAAAATGTACTAAATTTTAATAAATAATTGAATAGTACTAATATAACGTTTACTTACGAAAAATGAATATTTGCTAAATAAAAGATAATAAATGAAATCATTAATTCTCGTGTCAAATAAATATATGTTTATATTTAGTAAACATTTTCAACTAGCGCTATTCGAACAAGTATATTTATTAAAATTTAGTACATTTTTCTCTTAGTACAAGAATTCCTGCAGCTGTGACGTCACTCGTTGAGAATGATTAAAGAGGATTATTATTCCTCGCTGTCGCTACTGCAGCTGATTATTAATTTTTCGTCGCTAGACGTTCTATTCCGAAACCTCGCAATCAATTCGAAGGAGCCCCCGATTATTCCCGGGAGCGCGCGAGTGACGTCACAGCTGCAGCGTCCGGGATTTTATTGTAGATGTTGTTAGCGTGAAACGCGGTCGCGGCACATACGAATGACGCAATAAAACGACACACTTGTATGTAGCGCGACACCGGGGAAACCGAAGAAACGAGGATCGTTTCGTGGCTTCGCGTCGTTCTCAAACGACGGTGTGCCGCCTTATCCGACTAATTAAATAAGCTAGCAATTAGTACAACACCGCGCGTACCTATTGCGAACGGAGCGAACGAATTGCGTAAGGATTCCATGATTCCGGACAAAGACGCATGTGTGTGTGCGAGAGTGCGTGAGTACGAGCGAGAGCGTGCGTGGGAGAGTTACGTTAGTCATTTCGTTCTCTTTTTCCTCTCTTTTTTTTTTCCTTCCTACGAGTGAGCGCAATCCTTCTTTTCTAAGTTCGTCGTTAAAAGAATCGTGCATTATGGAAACTATATCTCGTTGTGATCGCCGGGCTCGCATACCTGGCAAATCTTAATTATGAAAAATAAAGTTCAAAGTTTCGATGCAGATATACATGTGTATGTACCGTACAGATCTGATTTCATTCCTACAACTCTCTTGCTTTCGCTAAATATATCAAACGTATATATACCTATATCACATTAAGGAGGTTGTAAGGACATGAAACACATATTAATATTTATGCTTAAACAAATTATATACATGAAAGTTGTATTCATAACATTCTGTTTTTATTGAGCAATACATTTTTATAGATTATTTATTTTATTTGGTATTAGTTTTATTGTTATAAACAAAAATTTTTTAAATAATAAAAATTAAATATTTTTTATATAAATATTTTAAGTGTTAAAAATGACTTGTGCAAAGTTTCATTGAGATTTACCAATTAGTTTATAACAAATAAATATTTTGTTTATTTATTGAAAAATTAATGTCTGCGTCTTAATGTAACTTTACATAAGTATTTTTGAATTCATAAAGTACTTACATAAAAAATTGAGATTTTTATCATTATTTTATAATACATTTTCATATATTTTTATTAGAGTACAAATTAAAAAAATATTACTTTTTATTGAAATAACTTTTGATCCAAATGGTAAACTGTCTCTAATTTTTTTGTATTATATTACTTTTAAATGCAATTTAGAATCTGTAATTTTTTCAAGTAATTCTTAACATATTGCATTTGCCTTACAACCTCCTTAAAGTGGTTCTACAGTAAATCGAGTTACCATAGATTTTTTAATATAATGAATTTCAAGTACCAAACTTGACGTCTGCAAAATTCTAGGATCAAAAAATTACGATCGTAATGGTCACAAAAAAGTGATAAGTCATTCTGGAAAGATATTTAATCTCGAAATGATAAAATATCGAATTTTTACAAGAACAAATTGTACAAGAAATCAACTTTTTATTTCACTACTTTCGCATATATTAAATATCGTTTATTTCATTAAAATATACACGTAGTTTTAATATTTTATCCAAATCATGCCGAGAATCATGCAGATATATTTGTGGCTTTAGATGGGCTCTGGTGAGGCATCCAAAATTTTCGGTACTTTACTGTAGAATCATCTTCAAAATGTGTACAGTAGTTGAGCTACAAAAAACAGCTCTCGTGTGTATGCGCGTGTTTTGTTCTCGTTATTGACTGCGCGCTGTCACGCGAAAACTTTCCACCGATATCGTCCGCGTTCTCCCAGTCCTCTCTCGCTTCCCTCTTCCTTCCATCGTCGTCAAACGTCGACATCAAACGGTTCTGCCTGATGTGTCTGATGATGGAGCGTGCCACAAATACATCGTGGATACGTGCACACTGGTATTATACGGGACGTCTTGTCATTACCGTTCTTCCTTCGCGAGTGAGTCTTCGCTCGAGGAAAATTTTCGATCTAATCGTGAGATCGCTTAAACGTAACGCTGGACTT